TTGGCACATTTCCTTGGGGAGATGACACGGGCAATGAGGACAAGGCAAGACATCAGCCTACCTGGGACACACCCACAAGCAGGTATCAGCTTCACACCTCACCCCTGGGAGAGGTAAGAAGCCACTGGGTGACCAAGGTTCAGCTCTAGGAGACTCTGGGTGTGAGGTCCTGGAGGCCCAGGCCCAGGCCCAGGCCCAGTGTATAGAGCAGGCGCTCAGTGGGCTCTCTGGATAAGGTGTAGAGCGAAGGACAACCAGGAGCCTCTGGCCCTGCCCTGTATTTTTGAAGGAGGGACAACCGGCCAGAGCGGGGAGCTTGATGTACACAAGCCACACAGCAGGCGGTGGGTGAGCTGGGCCTACGAATTCAGGGGCTCCTCCCTTCCTCCACTCCAGCCTCCCCCTATAAAAAGGCACCTCCCCACCCCCCAGCTGGCAGCAGCTCTCAGAGCAAGAGAGGAGGGTGCCGCCCTGCCTCCCGTGGTCTCACAGTCTCCACCTCCTCTCTCCCTCTCTGTCTACGGTCAGGAACTTCTGATAAACCTTGCCAGGCAAACTTTGCCTCCTTGGAAAGCCTCCAGAATAATCACAAGGAAACAGCCCACGCCTGCATTCTGCATTCTCGAAAACCCTTCACCCTCCCTGTGCAGAGAGACTTGGGGCCGCTCCTCACCCGCTTGCAGCCTGTCCTGGTAGCCTCCACACACGGGGAGAAGTCCCTTCCCCTTCTCTCCACCGCCCTGGATGGAGGCCACAGTCCACGGGAGAAGCCGGGGTAGGAGAGCAGAGACGCAGTGCCGTGAGTGAGCCTCAGGACTTGCCTCTCCGTGGTCCTCCTGCAGTGTCCTCCCAGTGCAGCAGCAACAGCCCAGTTCCCCTTCACAAATATCCTGCCAGGTCACGTCAGCTCTCCGATCAGAACCCTGCCTCAGTCTGGGTAAGGCCCCAAATCTACACAAGCCCTACCCTCGCCGGGCCCTCCATCACTTCCCTGACCTTATCTGTGTGGCTCTCCCTTAATCTCCCCTCCACCCTGACCCCCCACTGCCAGGCCTGCGCCCACCCAACTGGGGCATTTGCACGGTCCCCAGAGTCCTCCTTCTCACCTCTGCTGAAATGTCAGCTTCTCAGGGAGAAGGCCTTCCGGGACTTGGCAGATGCAGCCTGCCCTTCATTCCTCACTCCTCTCCCTGTTTTATTTTTCTCCAGCTGACATACCAACTACTTTACTTATTTTAAAGTGACAATCATCTCAGTCCCAGCTAGGATGATAGCAACAGGAGAGCAGATGTTCTGTTCCCTGCTGTATCCCTGGGATGCGGTGCAGTACTCAGCACACAGCAGGCCCCCACAAATGCCTTTGAACGCTGAAGGGGTGAATGAGGGCATGCGTAAATGAATTAAGAGAGCACTATATGCTATTTTGCCCTCCTGGGCAGGGGACGTTCCCTCCCAGCTATGGAAATCCTGAAAAGCGCCAGATGTGGACTTTGGTAAGAGAGAAGGGACCAAGCTGTGGGTCAGGATCTTGGCTGATAAAACCACCAGGTGCAATCACCTTCTCCCCCCACCTCTTCCAAACACACTTCTTTTTTTAGAGAGAGCTTAATCCACCAATTGTCACTCTTGACTGAATTTTCTGCAGGTTTTGTTTTGTTTTGTTTTTTACATCTTTTTAATTTATTGGAGGGACCATAAAAGGCACAGATCTGAAGCATGCCGCTTGGTGAATTTTTACATATGTGCACACCTGGGTAACCACCACACAACTCAAGATCTGAGCCGTTTCATCACAAGAGGCGTCCCCAAATGTCCCTACCCTTCCACAGTATCATACAGTATGGGCGCTTTTGCGTCTGGCATTGTATCTGTGAGGTTTCCCTGATGGTCCGGTGTCACAGGAATTTGTTCTTTTTTATTGCTGTTTATAGTCCTCTTCACATCTTCTTGAGTGTGGATTACATGATCTGGACCGGTTCTTTCATCGGCCTCACAAAGGACATGGGGAGCCGCCGCACACTCGCTCAGCCATCTGGTCTCTGGCTTTCGGTGGGTACATAGGCTACAGAGAGACTTGGTTGCTCTGCTCCAGACTTGGGGACCTCATCAGAGCCCGTGGAAGGCAGAACAGCTCGTGGGCAAGGGCTCAGGCCTTGGAATCAGGCTTGGGTTCAAATTGCTCATTGTCATTTCTTGGCAATGTGACCTTGAGCAAGTCCCTAACCCTTTGTTTCTTTTCTTCATCTGTAAAATGCAAATATAGTTAAACTACTGGCTGTGTGTCACTGCTGTGAAGACCAAAGAAAATGACCCATGAGTGTGGTGCTCAGGGCATGGTAGACGCTTGGTAAATGCTAGTTATTCTTATTACAGCTTCTAGCACCAGTCACTCTTCCAGAATTGTCTTTATCAGGATCTTTGCCCCACAGGCCAATCCAGAGCTATTTCCTGGCCATCTCCCCTCACCCCTACTGGGCTGCCTGCTCAGGCCTCAAGTTCCCCAACTTTCAAAGCACTTTTGTAAATGGGCACAGGGGAGCAATTGGAAACCAGAAGAAACATGAGGAAGCACACATATACATTTACAAGCACCATAATGAAAGCTTTGTATCCTCAGTGGCTAAGATTCATTATCAGGTCTTTCCTGCTGCACTTTGAACTTGAGCTTCACAAAGTGCTGAGTGAAGAGGTAGCTTAAGTGCAGGAGGCAGCCACCAATCTGAGATTCAATCTGCCCCCGACCCCTCCATGGAGATGCCTGAGCAGCTCACAACCACCCATGAGGGGCTGGCTGTTGCCTCCCAGCTAGGGAGCTGCAGTCCCTACCAACACGGCCACACACGAAGGAGGCCTGGGCACATTGTGGGATTCCCGGTGTCACCCCATGATAGCCCCTGGGGCTTCCAGCCTGTCCAGAACACAGAGACGTGGCACACGCAGTGGCTTTGTCAAGGGTACCTTGGGGCACTTGGTCACCCCACCCACCATCCGTGATGACCTAGGAACCATCATGAAGGACTGATAACAGCTGCAATAGGATTTGACATGGGCGACAATTGACAGTCTCTCGGTCACAGATGAAGTAGGACTCGGAGCGTTGTCAGAATCATCTCTGTCCTTGTTGGGGAGAAATCTCAGTGCTCTCAGAAGGCACTGAGCCCCTCCATCCTTAAGGTCCTCCTTGCCGTGAAATTCTGGAGCCACATTCCAGGGGTATGCTTGCACCGTCCCTGCGGCAGTCGCCCCGCAGGACATGCTGCAGCACGCTGGCAGCCACTGTGCAGCAAATAACAATATGATAATAATGAGCATTTGTTGAATGATGATTCTGTGGCAGGCGCTTCATGCCTTAGCTCATTTAATCCACTCAGCGATTCTGTGAGGTGGTGCTGTGGGTTGAATTGTGTCTTCCTCAAAAAGATGTTGAAGTCCTAACCCCCAGTACCCGGGCATGTGACCTTATTTGGAAACAGGGTCATTGCAGATGATGAAATTAAGATGAAATCATAGGGTGGGCCCCCTCATCCAGTACAATCAGTGTCCTTATAAAGAGGGGAAATTTGGACACAGAGACTCGCACACATGGAGAAGGTCATGTGCAGACGAAAGCAGAGATTGGGGTGATGAATCTAAAAACCAAGGAATGCCAAAGACTCCCAGAAAACCCCCAGGAGCTAAGGGAGAGGCCTGGATCCAATTCTCCCCTACAGTCCTCAGAAGGAACCAACCCTGTTGACACCTTGATTTCAGACTCCCAGCCTCCAGAAATACACTTTTGTTATCTAAGTCGCCCAATTTGTGGTACTTCGTTGCAATAACGCTAACAAACTATCACAGGTGGGTACTGTTTTTATCCACACATTACAGACCGAGGCTTGACCCTGCCGGGGCTTTAGAGAGGGTTGGGATGATGGAGGAACTGAGGTGGGATCAGCAGAGTTCCCGAGGGGTTGTTTCTTCCCTGACAACTGGCCAGGTGCCCCCTCTCCCCACAAATGGGCGTCCACTCCTATACCAGCAGGAAGTTTCACACCCAAGCTCAGCCTGGTGTCTTCTCTCTGTTCCTTCCCGTTCTTTCTTTCTTTTTTTTTTTTAATTAATTAATTTATTTATTTATTTTTGGCTGCGTTGGGTCTTCATTGCTGCGTGCGGGCTTTCTCTAGTTGTGGCGAGCAGGGGCTACTCTTTGTTGCAGTACACGGGCTTCTCATTGCGGTGGCTTCTCTTGTTGTGGAGCAAGGGCTCTAGGTGCGCGGGCTTCAGTAGTTGTGACTCACGAGCTTTGTTGCTCTGCAGCATGTGGGATCTTCCCAGACCAGGGATTGAACCTGTGTCCCCTGCATTGGCAGGCAGATTCTTAACCGCTGCACCACCAGGGAATCCCCCCTCCCGTTCTTAAGGCCTAAAGATGGAAGTCAGCGGCTGGGGAAGGGAGCTGCCAACACAGGCCAGAGGCTGCAGGGTGGAGGGGGAGGGCCTTACACACACAGCAGGAGGGTCTGGCTTGAGGATGCAGGGGCCACCAGAACAGCCTGTGCCCACTTTTCCTCTCTTTACTCTTCAAAGTCCTGAACAGACCTCTGGTGGAGGTGAAGACCCTGCCAAGGCCACAGAGCGGGACAACAAGGGCCCAGCCAGGAAAGGAAAGGGTTGCCATGCCTGGAGGGTGCGGAGATGTGGTGAAGAGGGAACAGGTGCCCCTGAGTTCAAACTCTGTTTTCTTCACTCATTGGCTGGGGGAAATTGGTCTGACCTCACTTGGCCTCAGTTTCCCCATCTGTAAAATGGAAATAATAATGTTATGGCCTTACCTTATAAAGTATTGTCAATAAAAAAAAAGAAAAACCCTCACGGGACTTCCCTGGTGGTCCAGTGGCTAACACTACACGCTCCCAATGCAGGGGGCCCGGGTTCAATCCCTGGTTGGGGAACTAGATCCCGCATGCTGCAACTAAAAGATCCTGCACGCTGCAACTAAGACCGGGCACAACAAAATAAATAAATATTTTTTTAAAAACCCCAAAACAAAAAACCCTCACTTAGCACAGCCCCTGGAAACAGTAAGGGCACAGTGTTATTGGTTGTTCTCATAATTGTTATAGGAATGACCCTGAGCCTATCCTGAGAATAAACATGGTGCGGAGGGAAAAATGTGTCCTGTGTCCTGTACAGAGAGGTAGAGCATGGGGCAGCGAGCTGCCAGGCCTGGGTTCCCGCCTGGCTCTGCCACAGTTCCTTGGGTGAACTTGAGTGAGTTCACTGGGAGAGCCAGTGTTTGGAGGCTCTGTATTAGGAGGCTGGGAGAAAAAGGGGGGCCCCTGTCGATTCTCGGATGTGCATCCTTAGTGCCAGGGCTGTGCCGGCACTGGGGGTTCTGAATAGCTACTTGGCTGCCAGCTGGATGTAATGCAGAGGCTTTCCTCTGGGTGCCAGAAAGAGTGGGGTTTTCTGGGAGTCATCATTTCTGGATTTGGCTTGTTCCCCAGATGGGGTGTGTTGGGAGGGGCTGAACTTGGCAGATGACCTGGGCTCTGGGTTTGGCTCATCTTGGACTCGCAATGGAACCCTTTGCTTCTTTGGGCCTCTATCTCCCCACATGTAAACTAACTGATTGTTCCTTTCCAGTGATAAAATTCTGGATTTTCTTTCCTACCTCGAATGACAGTAGGTACTTGAATGACTACTGGGTGCCAGGGGCAAAGCTTTCCACACACTTTATCAACTTAATCCTCACAGCTCTACGAGGCAGTTACTATTATTCTTCCACTCTGCAGATGAGGAAATGGGGGCTCCGAGAGGCAGGTGGCTTCCCCGAGATCACACAGCTCGTAACGGACAGAGATGGAATTTATGCTCCCATAGCTTTGTGTAAGAACTTGCTCACTGCTTCAGCCCTCACGGCTCTCCCATCCTCACACACCACGTGTCACTGGGCCACTCCCCTGGGCACGTTCTCCAAAAGTGCCTCCACTTCAATTAATTTTTAAAGATGACGTTAAGAACAAGATGGAAGGAAGGAATGACACAGCCATGACTCATCATGGAGAGAAGGCAGTCGAGGGATGGGGTGTTTTAACATGTCTGCTGCCTCACCAGGTGCAGGTGTCACTCCCTTCGTGCCCTTCCCCCACCCCTACCCTGCCCTGTGCACTGGCCACAGCCCTGACTGGCCTGGGAAGGGACACAGCTCTGGCTGTAACTCGGGCCCTACCATGACCAGGGTCAACCCAGCACTCCAGCTTCCCAGGACCAGGCCTCCCTGAGGCGCCCCCGTGGTCGCAATCTTCTCATCGGCTGCCTGATGCTGTATGCTTACCTGCCCCCAGACTCTCCTGAGACCCTCTGATGCCTTCAGGTACGGGCTTTCTGGAAGGGCCTGCCCATCCTGGAGGTGTGTCTGGTACCTGGCCCCCAGCCCAGCTCGCCCAGCCCTGCACTGGGCAGTCTCTCTAAAGCAGGTTTCCTGCACTGGGTTCCACAGTGGGTCCAAGCTAGTTCCACAGTGCCCTGTCCAGAGCCACACTCGTCGGCCTGCTCTGTGCACTAGGCTCATACTCCAATTTATTGAAGATGCTATGAACTGTTTGAATTGACCAGCACTCCCTGTGCTGGCCCCACGTCACCCTCTTCCAGGCCACTTCCTGGAGCCACTGCCACAAGCGTATGTGTGGGCATCCTGGCTAGTCACTCAGGACTCCAAAAAGACCAAGAAGGGAAGCCATGCCCTAGGCTGGTCAGGAACTGCCTGGTTTCTATGGTGATGAAGCAGGTGGCACTGGATAGTGTGAGCACCCAGTAGGGCAAGGCTCTGGGAAAGCGTCTCTGGTCCTCACGGGCATCGAAACACAGTGACGTGGCAGCCCAAAAGCCTGGCACAGCTCAGAGCTCTGGCCAAAGGGTGCGAGAATCCACAGTTTGGTTTCTCGGAGCTGACGTCTTCAGCCTTCATCGTGAAGGAAGCTTGTGGAAAACACTGGAGGGAGAAACCTGGGATTCTTCCTCCAGGGATATCAAACACACATACAAATCAAACGCCGCAGGTGAAAATGCATTTTCTGAATGAGTTGCCACAATTTAAAAGTAAAAGTAATTCACATCAAAATCTGGATTTTTGACTTCTGTTGAAAAATTGGAAAATCTGGTAGCCCTGGGCCTGCCTGTGCTCTTGAGTGGAAAAATTTGCAGGAGCTGAGGGTCCTCGCCCTGACTTAGCTCTTCATTCAGGATCATTTAAACCGTGACCCACTCTCCTTTATATCCAGCCCCCTTCCCTCATTTCTGTTATCTGCCTCCTTCCACAGGTGGATGAATTTTTTTTTAACTCCTATGTAGTCCAGCTGTGAAAATAATTCCAGTAATTTGAGGAACGCCTGCACACTCTGTCCTGCTCTTATTCATGCACAGACGACATGAACATATTAAGGCTCTGTGAAGTCCTGCAATTTCCCGAAGCATCATGGTCCCCATTTGACACAGTGAGTGCTCCCCAGACAGAAGGTGGGTGCCTCCTCAGACAGTCCCCGTGCCTTTGGGGCAGCCCACTTTCCCCTCCCCCCGCTGCCCAGGGTGGTTGCTTTGGCATCTTCTCAAAGCACTGGGCAGGTCTCAGTGAGCTGGCTGAGGAGCACCTGTGTGATACGGCAGATGATGTCTGTTTGACTCACAGAGAGACAGAGACTAAAGGAGATCAGGTGATGAAGAAATTCAGACCCAGAGCCAGTGAGTCAGAGTCTCACCCCCTGCCTGTCCTTGACCTGGGCATCCCCTCGCAAGCCTGGCTGACGCCAATATCCTGAGGGTTATCAGTAATTAGCATATCTCACCCGGGACCCCTGATCACTGATTTCACACACCTCCCGGGCTGCGTGTTCTGCTTAGGCAGGACTGCTGACTCAGACGCAGGCCACGCCAGCGCCCAAAGCAACTCTAGAGATCTTCCCATCCTGTCTAGTTCTTTCATGTCAGCTGGAATCGCTTGGCAATGACTTCCTGGAGAGAGCACTGTTGATTCTGAGTCTGTCTGATTCAGTGCTCAGCTCAGCGGACAGGTAATGCTATGATCCATTGGTAATTTCTGCCACGGTTGGAAAGGAAAGAGTGGTGGGTTTGCCCCAAATTAACATCCTGGCTCTAGTCTGTGGGTCAGTTCAGAGGTCCCTCTTGGAGTTGGGGGCAGTCTATGAGAGGGAGCTGGGCTCTACAGTTTATAAAGGGAGCTGAGGCACGAAGGAGACAGTTGAGGGCACAACCAACAGGTAACACCTTGTCCAAGCCAGCCTCAGCCTGCCTGCCACTCCCACAGCCTCCTTCGCAGAAGCAGTCGTGTTGGTCCCACGTGACCCCTACCTCCCTGGTTGTAGCCGAATGGACCATGGGTGGGGACCCAGTCTATAGGCTGATTCACCAGCCTTTGAGGTAGCCTGGTGGGAAAATTAACTGCACCAAGTAGATCCTCTTGGGGAATGTGAATTGAAGGCAGAGAGAACAGTTGACGGCAAAAACCAAAGCTGATCAACAAACAGAAGTTCAGAGAGAGAGAGGAGAGAAGCTGCGTGGGGTTAATGATACACCCTAGGGTGACAACCTCCCAATTCCTGCAGCTGACACACCAGCTCTGGGAGTCGCCTTCGGTGAGGGTATGGGAGGGCAAAAGCCATGCTTGCTGGTTTATCAATAATCAGGTCCCTATAACTCACCGAATCTGTTTCCGGCCAAAGGGGTTTTTCAGTCTCCGAGGGATGGGCTGTCAGGGTGGGCTCCAGAGGGCAGGTCTGTGAGATCATGGGTGGGGTTGATTAAAGTGACAGCCAACTTCAATTAGAACTTGTACCAGACACATTCCTGGGCCACTGTGGGTAGAGTACCCTGCTGGTGACACTTGCTCTCACTTGCGGGGTCTAGTAGGATCTCTTAAGGGTGGGGAATTGGGCATTCAGAGGACATGTGTGAATTCATCATGGGTTGCAGCCTGGTTTTAGCCTTACATTGCTTCAGTAAACATTGATAATGATCAGATAAGAGCCTGGGCTCACCATCCAGATCCCTTGGATTTGCCACCTACCAACAGTGTGACTTTGAGCAACTCATGTAAACTCCCTGTGCCTCCTGTTGGTGGGAGTGTAAATTGATACAGCCACTATGGAGAACAGTATGGAGGTTCCTTAGAAAACTAAAAATAAAATTACCATGTGACCCGACAGTCCCACTACTGGGCATATACCCAGAGAAAACCATAATTCAAAAAGACACATGCACCCCAATGTTCACTGCAGCACTATTTACAATAGCCAGGTCATAGAGGCAACCTAAATGCCCATCGGCAGACGAATGGATAAAGAAGATGTGGTACATACATACGATGGAATATTACTCAGCCATAAAAAGGAACGAAATTGGGTCATTTGTAGAGATGTGGGTGGATCTAGAGGCTGTCATACAGAGTGAAGTAAGTCAGAAAGAGAAGAACAAATATCGTATATTAACGCATATGTGTGGAACCTAGAAAAATGGTACAGATGAACCGGTTTGCAGGGCAGAAATAGAGACACAGATGTAGAGAACAAATGTATGGATACCAAGGGGAGAAAGTGACAGGGGGTGGTGGTGGTGTTGGGATGAATTGGGAGATTGGAATTGACATATATACACTAATATGTATAAAATAGATAACTAATAAGAACCTGCTGTATAAAAATATAAATAAAATAAAATTCAAAAAAAAATTAAAGAGTTTGGAAAAAAAAAAAACCTCCCTGTGCCTAAGTTTCCTCAGCTGTAAAATGGGGGCAATGATGGCACCTGACAGGGTTGCTGCGAGGGATTAAAGTAAGGACTGGCACATAGTAAGGGCTACTAAATGTCAGGCCCTGTGCCGGGTGCTGAACGTACCAAGTGGATTTGTCTCCTGCCCCCATGGAGCATAGAGTCTAGAATTCAGTGGCCACTGGGGGACCCTGCCCACCTGTGACCTCTGTGCTGTGGGTCAACTGGTCTTTTCTGGGCCTGATGTCAGCAAGCCCTGGTGAGACTGACATCTGCCCCCACACGTCTAGTCCTGCTTCTGCCCTCCTGGTCAGTCTGGCTGGCACATGCTGGTCAGACCTGGCAGTGGCAGAGCCCGTGCCCAGGGGGAGGGAGGCATTCAGGGCTGGGAGGCAGGAAGGAGAGGCACTAACACCACCTGGAGCCATCATGGGGGTTCCCTCTACTGAGTGGCCACTGTGTGGCAGATAACATGCTTATAGACATCCCTGTATTCATTTCCTAGGGCTGCTGTAACAAAGTACCACAAACTAGAGGCTTGAAACAATAGGAATTTATTTTCTCACAACTCCTAAGGCCAGAAGTCCAAAATCAAAGCGACATTTGGGGCATGTTCCTTCCAAAGGCTCTAGAGGAGAATCCTTCCTTGCCTCTTCCAGCGTCTGGTAGCTTCTGGCACTCCTTGGCTTGTGGTAGCGTCATTCCAATCTCTGCCTCAGTCTTTACACAGCCTTCTCTCTGTGTATATTTGTGTTTTGTCTCTGTGTCCAAATTTCCCTTATTAGATTTAGGGACACCCCCTAAATCCACTATGACCTCATCTAGCTGGATTACATCTGCCAAGACACTTTTTCCAAATAAGGTCACCTTCACAGCTTCCCGTGGATGTAAATTTTTTTTTTTTTTGCCACACCACGCAGATTACCGATCTTAGTTCCCTGCCTAAGGGCACAGGGATTGAACCCGTGGCCCCTGCAATGGAAGCAGATTTCTAACCACTGGGCCACCAGGGAATTCCTCCGTGGATGTAAATTTTAAGGGGACACTATTCAACCCAGGAAAATCCCTTAGCCACCACCTATCAGAATGAATTTGGTGTTCTTTCCCCCATTTTACAAATGCGAAAACTAAGGCACAGACCAGCCCAAGGCCATACGGCAAGCTGGACTTCAAACCCAGCTCTCTGACCTACAAAAGGCCTCTGAGTTCCTAACGGCGACCAGACGCTAGAGCTCTGGAGGAGAAACTGGAGCTATACGTATGAGGAAGAGGGAAGCAACAACAGGAAATTCCTTCTCAAGGCAATGTCCAAGGCTGCTGGAGCCCAGGGACTGGACTTCAGCCCCAGAACCCTCAGCCCTTCCCAGCAACAGGCAGGAAGCAGCTTAGCCTGATGCTCCGCCGAGGTCTCTGCTGTGCTGATCTGGCCTGAATAAGCCAGCAGCAGCTCAGGGGGCAAAGCTGGAAGGAATGTTTATCTGGGGCCAACAGAAGGGAGAGGGCTGGAGCCCACAGCCAGAGCCACTTGCCTGGGAAGGGCCCCCATCTCATGTGTGTGTGTGTGTGTGTGTGTGTGTGTGTGTGTGTGTGTGTGTGTGTGCGCGCGTGTGTGTGTGTGTTGATCGAAGGCCCTGTTGCCTATCCTGGGGCCCTGCCAGAGCTGGGACAGCTGCTGATTCTGATCACAGGAGTATGTTCCTCAGGGAGGGAGGCCCCTTAGAGACATCCCAGCCCAAGGGTATCAAATAAATGGCGGGTCTACCACCATACTCCCTTCTTCTGAATCCTCCTCAACACAGTGCCCCCCAGAGCTACTGTCTATCAACTGGAGCTGGCAGAAAAGTTAAAAACTGCCCTGTGTTTCCAGACCCAGGAGTCTCAGCCTCAGTGATACCTTCCCGAGGGGCTGAAGAGCATCCTCTAGATCCCACAACTTGAAGAGAGAAGCAGGCCAGTTCTCCCAGTCCAGATCCCAGGCTCTTTTTCCTGACACTCACACTTAGTACACAGGGTGACATCCAAGCCTTCCTGTCTTCCCACTCCCTGTGAATCATTCCTGGCTGCTACCAAGAACCAGGCTTCACAGCTGTTGCAATTGCGCCCTGGCGCTGGCATCTGAGGACAGCTGCTGCTGCAGGGCCCGCCCCGCCCCCAGGGCAGCTGGTCTGCGTGACGGGAAGGCGCTGAATGGTTCTGAAGTACAGGTAGGAGTTTGCCCAGTCAAGAGAGTTCAAGAGGGGAATTCTGGGCAGAAGAATCAGCATGTGCAGAGGGCCTGGCAGAGCTGAAGGGAGAAGGGCGGGTGGGCCGGGAGGAGCTGGGAGGCGGCAGCCATCATCGTGACTTTGGTGACGTGACACCATTGTCCACAGGACCTGGGTTCTGGTCTCGGCTTAGTCATGACCTTGCTGTGGCACTTGGAGCAAGCCCCTGCCCTTCCGGGCCTAGGTTTCCCCATCTGTCCAGCAGGGAGCCGGGACCCCGTACTCACAACAGGCCATGCCTGCCTTGTCAAGCGTCCCAGTGTCCTCCTCGCTGTCCTGGCTGGTGGTGGGGACCAGAGGCTGATCCTCAGAGAGGCTCGGCCTGGCTGGGAGCTAGCCCAGCTGTCCCTGGGCTTCTGCAGGACTGGGGTGGGGACAGGGACACTATGCTCTTCTCACCTTTGTGCGCTGGGGCAGGAGGCAGTTTGGCAAAGGGTACCAGCCACCAC